CCTACAGATATCTTTAACAAAAAAGAGTACTTGGTTAGTTATTACAAAGGCGTTGCTTTATGTTTTTCTGAGCTACTATACACCAGTACTTTTACGTTGCGTTTCTTAGAATCTACTGTCTTGATTGTTTTACTGAACCTATTCTTTCTGTACCCTACTTTTATAAATAAACGATGAATCATCGAAAGTCATGTAGAAACGTACGAGAAATAATGTTGATTATGTCAGCTGAGTTATTCTTTCTTTTCGAATACGAGCTAATGAATAACATAGATATTGCTAATAACGAATGTATACCAAACTCAGCTTTAGTTATACAACTCGAAAAACAACACATGTGGGAGTAGTGCGTTGGACTAGGTTCATAATAATGAGATGGAGAATAAGCTGTATAGCGTCAGATTCTCTAATTTAATTCATATCAGTATTGTGGAGAAACATGATCCATATGTTTGTCCGTTTCAGTTCTTGTAGCGCGGGATAATAGCTTTGTAAGACCGACAGAACAAACGTCATCAAAATGTAATGCACGACAAGACTGAGTTATTACCTGTTGATATGCGTCGGACATGTTGAGGACGGTAATAGGTTGTTGTAATGAGTATTGTCGAATAGCATGCCAAACATTACGTGTTGATTCTTCTCTTAATGGTTTATATGCTATTTCAAAAGGACCATCTTTAGCAAAACATGTCGATATCAAGATCTTGAAACGCATTCCGTTTTCATGAAACAGTTGTTCGTTCTTAGAAGCCCATACTGACATTGGATCTTCATTTTCACATCCAGTAATAACACAAATCGCTGGAATTCTATTTTCAAACAACAGATTAGCAAATAAATCATAACAGTCTTTAGTTGATTGATGAAGTGTCCCAATTCTTGTAACAAATATTAATAAATGCAGAGCACCTTGTAAAGAACGTATCATGTCAAGAATATCTAGAATTGCTTGTCCACTAGTGATAGTTCCTTCATTCCTTTCATAAAGACCAGGTGTGTCAATAAATCTATAAGAAATTCCACCTTCTTCTATTGGATCAAGTAGTACTGATTTGGATGTGCATCCAGTTGCCCAACTGTGAACATTAGATGTTTGGTGGGCGATTTCATTTAGCATGCTTGTCTTACCAACATTGGATAAGCCCAAAACAAGGATATGTTTTGATAGTGCCATCTGAAACAAGTGCCAAAATAGGGTTTCTTCTAATGTTCTTAGTTGACTTTCGTACGTTGATAGCGGATGCAACAAAGAGTTTTGTTTATTCTGTGAGGGTGAGGGTGCATCAGTAGACAAACATGACATAGAAACAACAATAGCGCGCCATAATCTATACTCGAAACATGAGAGGAGTGAAAATTTTTTTATATCTTAATATATTCAGAACATACGATAAAAAGCTTTTTTTATACTAGGTTTCTTCCCGTGTTATCATTGTACAAACACAAGGTAGAACAACAATAGTGCGTCATAATATTATGTTGTTTAACTTAACATATAATACAACGCGTTCGTGTTTCTTTTTCTTTTAAAGATGTCTACAGT